TGGACTTGACTTTTTTGATAATTTACTTTTCAATCCACTTGATTTTGACAAACACATTGCAAATGAAGATCACATTGACAACGTACAAACAGATATGCATAACATCGCTAAAGAGTGTAATTGTGTGAATATTGATACATTAAATTCAACAATAAAATGTGATTCATTTTCACTACTCCACATGAATATGAGAAGCTTACCAAAAAACAATTGGAAATTTGAAATGCTAAACTCTTTGAGTAAAAATTCCTTCTCTGTGATAGCCATGTCTGAAACATGGTTAACTCAACACAATGAGAGGCTTTTTTCACTAAATGGATATAATACTGTATTTAATTCGAGAAAACAGTCTAGGGGTGGGGGAGTTTGCCTACATATTGCAAAACAGTACAAATTTGAGGAAAGGTCAGATCTCAAACTTAATTCTGACAAATTTGAATCAGTGTCCATTGAAATAAAACAAGATGAAGGAAAACATATTATTGTAACTGCTATTTACAAACCTCCCAATGCTAACTTAAATGATTTTAATAATCTATTTAATATATTCTTAGAAAAAGTGGCTTCTGAGAACAAAATTTCTTATATCCTTGGAGACTTTAATGTCGATCTTTTTAAAGCAAATGACCATGATCAAACAAATGATTTCTTGTGTAATTTATACACAAACAATTATATGCCGTTGATTTATAGGCCCTCAAGAATAACAAGAAACTGTGCTACTTTAATTGATAACATTTTTACCAATGCTCATAATGTTGCTCAATCTGGTATCATTTTGTTTGATATTTCAGATCATTTTCCCATTTATGCTGTTAATAATCATGAGAAGCCCAAAGTTAAAAAACTAAAGATCCAATACAGACTAATTAACGATGAAACATGTACAAGACTCCAATCAGAGATCTCAAAGATTAATTGGCATGCTATTTATCAATCTCAGTGTGTAAATAATGCTTATAATTCTTTTAATTTATTGAAACGTTTACTGAAGCTTATAATAGGTGTCTACCAGTAAAATCAAAAATAGTCAGGACTTTTAATGATAATGAAAAACCCTGGATTACTCTTGGAATTATTTTATCAGCTAGATACAAAAAATAAGCTTTATATTAAATACAAAAGGAATCCAACACTGGAAAACAAAGCCATGTATAAAAGGTATAAAAATAAATTAATTCATGTAATTCGAAATGCTGAAAAAGCTTATTACAAAAATAAATTTGAAGCAAATAAAGGCAACATAAAAAAATCCTGGAATTTAATTAACACCATCTTAAAGAAAAAGTCTTGTCAATCAAAAATAAATAATACATTTAACCTTAATAATCGACAAACTACAGATGGCGCTGAAATAGCTGAAAACTTTAATAATTTCTTTAGCTCTATTGGCAATAAACTTGCAAATAAGATTCAAAGCAATGCTGATCCAATGGTAAATTTAAGAAAAATTAATTCAAATGATAAATCACTCTTTTTATCTCCTGTAACAGAAACTGATGTTAAGAATCAACTTAAATCTTTGAAACCTTCTGCTGCTTCAATAGACGATATTAAGCCCTCAGTTGTCAAATTACTAAAAGAATCTTTACCAGCCCCACTTACACAGATTTTTAACCTGTCAATCTCTACTGGAACATTTCCTGATGCATTGAAAATTGCTAGAGTCATTCCTTTATTTAAAAAAGGTTTAAAAGAAATTTTTAATAACTACAGACCCATTTCTATCTTAAGTGTATTTTCTAAAATGTTGGAAAAAATTGTTCATGATAAGGTTACCGTATTTCTTGAAAAATATGAAATTTTATACTTACACCAATATGGCTTTAGGAAAAAACATTAAACATACATGGCCCTTTTAAATTTCATTGAAAATATTAGAAAGTCTTTAGATACAGGAAAAACTAGTCTTAGTATTTATATTGATTTAACTAAAGCCTTTGGCACCGTTGATCATAAAATATTATTACAAAAACTGGAATTCTATGGCATTCGTGGAGTAGCTCTTTCTTGGTTCACAAGTTATCTTGAAAATAGAAGAATCATCACTGAATTTACAAAGAAGAATGTTTCACTTGACCAATTTACAGAGACTGATGTGAAATATAGATCAATTGAAAATACAGTTGAATATGGAGTACCACAAGGGTCAGTAATAGGCCCCCTCTTATTTATGATATTCATTAACGACATATATCTCGTCTCAAATAAACTATCCTTTGTTTTATATGCTGACGATACAAATATTGCGCTTACTGACAAAAATATTGAAAATCTAGTCATTGAAATGAATGAAGAATTACAAAATGTCTCAAATTGGATGAAAGCAAATAAACTAACTCTTAATGTTGAAAAAAAACAAGTTTATGATATTTAGCAATAAAAGAGATCTGAACGACAAGAATATTATCCTTAAGATTGACAACCAACCAATTGAAGAGGTGAAAGAAATTAATTTCCTTGGCGTTATCATTGATTCAAAGTTACAAATGTATGCTTTGTAAATTTGTACATTACAATAACTGTTCTAACATGACATGCTTTATGTATAACACATTTTATTTTTTCAAAACATGGAATCCATACACCCCTCGGGGTGTCCTTTTCACTGTTTCATATCACTTGTAAAATAATATTGTATGAAAACTAGAATTGAATAATAAATTGAATAACTAGTTATATATTTTTGCCTAACCTTGAGTGCCAAGGAAACCAGAATGATCCACCGGTACCCTAATATGAGTACTTTAAGGTAGAAAAACAATTTATTTTTTAGCGCTGTCATAAATTAGGAAGTATTCAAATGAATAAAGATGGTGCCTACAACGTAATTTTAATTGGAACAAAAACAATAAATGCGGACTACGTATTTCAAAGTAAGATTACTACAAAACCAAAAGAGTCCAAAGCCAATCTTAAGCATTATTTTGTATACATTATTATAGCCTCATAAAATTACAAAGTATGGCGTGAAACGGAGGAACTTTATATTCATCAATTTTGGGGCATTAATATCTGAAAGGACTGCTTATCTGATCCAATTTAGACTCTGTCCACTTGATAGTTTTATGTGACCTTTCTATTAACATATATAAAGTGACTCCGAAGACAATTCATGATGCTGATCATGATTTTAATAACAATAGCCGTTTGCACCGTGCTTACCAATTATAATAGGTCGCCATATCAAAGAATGTATATAGATAGGATCAGCCATGATATATTAAATCAATGACACACATCAAAAGCTATAATTACAAGATATGGAAAGCAATAGCCATTGTTTATTAGATTAACGTTGTTTTATATTACACCCTGAATTAATAAATCAAATCGCTGGGCAAACTCACATCAGTTCTTATTAGAAGGTAAAAATAAAAGTTAGACTCGAGAAATACCTAAGAAGGAATAATTTGCTATGGACTAAGGCACAAAGTACACCGTTGATAGAATGTTAGGAACTAATTACTTGTAATATAAAATCGTAAAGAATGCGAGAGAACGCAAACACGTGTATTAATACTGTATTGGAGAAAACCCAGGTAAAACTCTGAAATTGGCCTAAGTTGTTTTTCCCAAAGAAATCCTAAAACATGTTTGCCCCATTCCATGTCAATTTTCAGCTCGCAACACTCAGCCCCTTTTTCTACAGAGCTTTCCTCGGAGTAATACCTGGAATTATGACTCGACTTTATAACTAATGCATATACGTTTCGCCATCTAGATGGTGTAAATGTGAAGATTGAACAATGAATGAGAAGATTAAAGGAATCGAGATAGCTTAGGGAACAGACAATCAATTCTTTGAATTTGATCCACCCATCAACATTTCAATAAGCCTTTGGGATTTAGTAGTTATCTTGGGTACCTTTGCTTTCATTTAGTAATGATTCAAATGCAGCACAATGACAACGCAGGATTGTTGGTATTCGCCATTATTTAGAGTCTCCCGGCAAAACTCACTGTTACAACATATTTGGAATAAACAAATGATGTTCTATCGCTAAGGTAGAAAGAATATAATCAATTCCTCTCAGCATATACACTGGTGATCCGCTCGATTACGCTGGTTACCGAAACGGTTCGTTTTTGGTAACAAAATGTCGGAACGTCGAAGGTACGATTTTTCTTTTTTCCTTATTTCACACGTTGTAGGCAGAATCCCAACGATGTTTTTTCTCACAAACGTGTATCAGCATCATATGTTTTAGAAAATGTACATGTTTGCGAAAAAATAGCTCAGAAGACAACAGAATCGTCGATTTAATTCCTCACTTAAGTTACATAAACGGCTTGGGTTCAAAGTGCAGATCTTAACTGTTTTTCGAAAAACCGTTTATGTAACTTAGTGAGGAATTAAATCGACGATTCTGTTGTCGTCTGAACTATTTGTTCGCGAATATGTACATTTTCTTAAACATATGATACTGATACACGTTTGTATTAAAAATGTCGTGGGAATTCTGCCTACAACGTGTAAAATAAGGAAAAAAGTATCTTCGATGTTCCGATATTTTGTTACCAAAACGAACCGTTTCGGTAACCAGCGTAATCGAGTTGATCACCAGTGATATACATGTATATAAAGTGTAGCTCTCTGAGTATTTTGAAACATGAAATATCCATTTCCATTTCACTGGAAAGTTCTGTACTATATAATATTTCGTATGGTTCAAACTAACAATGCACCACTGCAAGCCTCGATAAAAATGTGGATGATTTATCATAAAACTTGTTAATTATAGCTTCAAATGAAATATTAAGACTTACCGTGATCAAAACAAATCGTTTTATCCCAGGGTTATTTGTCACAGTTCAAACCCTAAGACTACATTATCATCATGTAAGCAAGATAAAATCAATTCTAATCTCTCTTGGGAAAATATTTACTAGGTCCTGGAAGAGAGAATCAAAATCTAAATGCCAAGAACTAGTCCCCTGATATTTGAAATTCATTAGACAATAGATTTATTCCCAGATCAACTAAAAGTTCAAAATGGCTCAATACATAAAGTTTATCTTGAAACCTACGATTTGATTTCCCCTAGAGCTTGGAATCGCTGCTTTTCCATCTCGCTACTAACTTTGCCGTTAAAGTAGCAACATGGATGGCCTTCCAGATTTACATTTTTTTGTTTTCTCGCTACTACTATTTTATACATCTATTGAAAGGTCAAATGTTTTGCTCGAAACTGTAGAAAAAATCCAATTTAAGAATATACTACTGGCGGCCAGGTATTTTGTTTTCAAATAAAGCAGCCTTTCCAATACTGTATGTATTATTACGTAATCTCTCACTTTTTCAAAATCGATGCATTTATTTATCTCATTTCAGGACCAGTTGCAAAAATATGGACGTTTTGCACCCGCTGTATACTCTTTATCAAAAGATCCATTTTTGTCACAAAGCCGAAATTGTTGTCCTTTGTCATTGCTTGAGAATGATCTTTTGTATTCTTAACAGTAATTTCATTTGTAAATCAATCACATCATACATCATTTCAGATGTAATTGCTCGATCGATGATTTCAAAGTAATGAACAATTACTTTAGATTTTATATGTCAATAAGGCAATTGACATTTAGTATAAGGCATTTTAACGTAGTGATTTAAAAGTCGCAAAGCAATGACGGGTAGTTTACCACAAAACGTTCATACAAACGCAACGAAGTGCTTTAACAGAAAACGTTCACACTTACTAACTATCCCTTGGCAATCGTTTGACTGATGTTTTAACACAAATCTTGCATACGTGCTGATTATCTATTAGACACATAGTGCTTTTACACATAATTTGCATACATAGGCTAGCTACTGATTTAATAAACGCATCGCAATGATGTAGTACTAACACAACAAAACTTGCATACGTCATGGTATTGATTATTTGAAAGACACTCAACACATATTTTGCACGCATACGTACTTATTTAACAGGCATAACGCAATGGTACTGTATGCTTATTTAATTCAAAACTTAAATACGTACTTATTAAAAACGCAAAACTTGCACACATAGTGATTTTATGGCCGCAAACTTGGTTTATCGGCGGATTACTAAGAGCAGATTGTTCCCTAAGTGTCTGCTATTGAACTATTAACACCCGACTATGTTCAACATTTATCACAATGATGACATAACAGTTGTAGCCTCTTAACAGCCCACTCTGCAATATCATTAACTTTATATAAATGAATGTTTACAAGCAAGACGTATTCCCAGGTCTGTGCTGTTCATGACAACTAAACAACTTACAATTGTATATTGAATTGAATATGAACAAAACCCAGAACATAAGGAATATATGGAGGAACCTTCGTTATTACTATCTACTTCTATTTCTAGAGACTAATTATTTGATTAAATTAGAATTTGAAAAAAAGTCGATGTCTTAAAAGAAAATTAAAAATTGAAAAAATCACTGAATTTGGGTTATTTTTAAGATGAATTTTTAAGTTCGACATGTGTCGTTTACTACCACAGCGATTTCCACTGGTAGGCTGGCAGCAGTGTATCACAATAAAGGATCCTTTCTTAACCCTGGGTGGTAGGGAATGTAGAGGATAGGACAGACCAATGAGTTAGATGACAATAGAAATGCAGTGTGACAAAAGATAAAATCTTTAAAATTGCCTTAATGACACGCCCATTTTTCTACTAACTACCCAAATTGTCACATCGGGTAAGTGTCACTTTCTTAAGTGTGAAAGTGTTAGAATATGGAGTAAACGCAAGAAACATTAAAACTTTACTTCTTCGGAACGACTTATTCTTTTGAGTGAAGCACATCCCAATGTTCATCAGGGGTTTATCCAGCTTCACATTACAGTATCTTGAAAATGTCTTCATAGATTTTTAGAGAAATTGATCGTGAAGAGAACGAGCCCTGAAGTCCAATCAGTTCGACCTGCTCTCATTTTTCAAACTTACATTTTCTTTTCGAATTTTTTTATTTCGCTGCCCTGGTGTGTTTTTATTGATGATGATGATGGTGTAAAAATTTTCCCATTAACGTTGTTTATTAGTGTGAAATGACATTCATTAGTTTTTTTAGTATTACCTTGTTTACAAATGTAATGACACACTATACATAACGGAATACCTAACCCTACTATTACAACAAACTAGTTTCCACTACGTTCTCGAAAACGAGATTCAACTGTGTACGAACGAACTGTACGTACTTAGAACCGTTTGGGGCCGGGTCTATTTACAAACTTCATCGAACGTACTGGAACGGGTAGGTCCTCTAGAACTTAGAAAATGCTCAAAATGTTCTCGTGGTCGATACGTTCTACAATTAGAACGATTGACAACGTACTAACGACGATGTGGACGTACTACGAACGGAACCGTCGTACTTCAATCCTACTAGGGACGTTTTAACAACGAGTTGAACTGTCTGAGGACGAAAAACGAGGTAGAACTAATTGCAAACGGGTTTAAACTGATTAAGAACGTATTTAAGACTGCTTATGAACGAGTTAGCAGAAATATAGCTATTACACCAAACAAGTTGCCACTGCGTTCTTCAAAACTGGTTTTAAACTGTGTGCGAACTGAATGAACGTAGCTACAACGTTCTACGGTCTGTTTACGAACTTCATGGACTTTCCCGGACGGGGAATGTGATTTGGAATTTTGAATCGATTCAAAATTCGATGGCGACCGTACCGTTCTGTAATCAGGTCATGATGACCTTCTAGACTAAGGGACGCGTTATACGACGTTACACACCAACGTTATGCGACCTGAACGAACTGCGAATGAGATGGACGTATTGAAGACTGTTTATGATCGAAGTAGCTAATTATTTTAGACATATTTCCCGACCACAGCCAGATTGAGCCCGTTTTACGACGTTTTCGTAGGACTGGCAAGAACGGGTAAGAACTAGTTTGGTGTGATAGGGGGGTAAGAAGGATAGATCTCATTTTGCAAGCAAAAAGCAATATTCTAGGATTCAAAAGTAACGACGAGATTTTGCAGTGATATATTCACTCAAACTGTTGTTTGGACACAACGACAACAACACTGATCTATAACTTCATTCTTGTATCAATAAATTAAAGGTTTCCCGCTGGAATTCACTTTTACTCATTATGACGCCATAAGTTAGCAATCCCTAAGAAAATTAAAGTCCTGATTTTTTTTATTCATCTATACTTTACATTTACATATTCTTTACATATCTCGGCTTGACATCCTCTAGGATGCGTATAGCCTTTTTTATATAAATATTCAAATAGATAGCTGATGCTTGAACATTAAACACTTAATAAACAAGATGAAACGAGAGAAAAAGGGAAAGTGAAGAAGAGTTTCATTCGACATTCAAAACTAGACACTTTTGAAAATGTCTGACTTAGTGTAGACGTTGCATTCGGTCGACTTCGCTTCTTATGGAGAGTGTCGTCTGCGTGCGAGTCTGACCTACTTTCTGACCATCAATGCCTCAATTTACAGGGTGGTCCAAAATTAAAGATGGCAATTTATCAAGTTCATACATTGATTCATATTTTCCAATATTTCTAGGAAATCTACATTTATGGCATGTAATGTATTGTTGTTATTTTGCCATTTGTACAATAACTTCATATCAAAATGTAGTAAATGTAGTTCAATACATTGAACACTAACCAACTCTATAAAGGGACCATCTCAAGATGACTGAAAACCAATATGCAAATACAGATTTATGGATCAAGATTAATCTAAACAGAATGTACATAAAAGAGATAGAAATTGCAAAGCTGTTATATGATGAACTTGGAAAAACTGAAGGAATACTAGGTGTTCAAAAGATTCAAGCAAATAGTAGATCTATTGCGATTGTGTACTGTGCTGATGAAGCTATGAAGCAAGAAGTTCTTGCCGTGTCACAAATAACATACCAAGGAGAGACACTTCGTTTAGCCAGTTACACCCCAGAACTCTTGCGACCATCTGAAAGAGTATCTATACACGGCATACCGTTACATGTTTCAAACCGTGACGTCGAAGACTGGATTAGTGAGCGAGTAGACATTACCAGTCCGATTCAATATGCCTTCAAAGAGGAAAATCAAATCCGCATTAATTCAGGAAATAGATTTGTATATGGGCGTGTGAAGCAGGATGTAGTTTTTCCAAGGTCACAACGGGAAACACTATTTTGTAAGCACTACTAAGAAAGAATACGTTATGTGTTATCCATAAGTAATAAGCAAGACTAACTACTAATTCTCAGGAATAAAAAGTTCACACTATTGAGATAGATAGAGCTTATCCTCGGACCAGTTACGTCTTATCCGTGTGTCATATGACTAGTACTGTGTTAATTAACTAAGTAAAGTATTCCAATTTAAAAAGTGTTGTATGTTTGCATGCAGCAAGCGTTTAATAATTCTTTGCATATATAAAATTGTCCATAAAAGAGTCTGATATATAATATTGTCCATAAAAGATGTTTATTTTAAAACTAAACTTTACGAATTCATGATAAGTGTATAATGTTCAATCATACAAATGCGCAGTCAGTGATTGTTCTCCACACTCACCCCTCCCCCCTTCCTGACATGAACTATTTTGTAAAACCATTGACAGTGTGGAAAGGATTCTTACACTCGAGTGTCAAGGGGGGGGGGTGTTATAAAAATATACAAGGCGATGGTTCAAATTGTACAATTTTCAAAACTGCTCAACATGGTGAAAACTTCACGTTTTTAAAGAATGCTTGCCCGGCGGGTGGTTTGCTCTGTATTGCGAGAGAACAAAAACTTTGAATTAGGATTTTTCCTAATACTATCATTAATCTAAACAACTTTTTAAACCGTCTCTGATTACATATCATGCCAATTAATACCATGATTGTGTTGACAGGATTAAATATGATATCTATGGAATTATAATTTAATGAACTCAATAGTCTAAATGATAATAAGTTCATAATTTAGTCTTGGCTGGCTAGTCTTGCATCATCAGAGTTGGATTGCAAATACCTCCCTAAATCAAATATTTAAAATTTACAAATTTACTAGTGTACGGGGTGGGGAAACAAGTCTCCATCCAACCACTAAAGTTTAAAAGGAAGACTATAGTGTCCCGTGAACTCATTATAATTATCTTAGACAATAGTGAAGCGGTACAATCATTGGAGTGATAATTAATCGAAATGCAAGTTTGATTTAAAATAACTCTTTGGATCAAATATTTAAATTCTACTAGAATGCGGGGAGTGGAAACAAGTCTCCATTCAAGCACTAAATATCTAAGCACTAAGAAAGATTTCAGTACCACTTAAATTCACTCCCGGACTTCACTATTCACCACCACCCTTCCCCCTTCCCCAATTATCCCTTATGACCCCAAAATGTTCGTTTCTGTGCCCCCCGTCCATGGCCAGTAAGTAATCTATGTGTATACTAGCTCCCTCCCAAAGGTGGGAAAAACCAGATGCAGGCATAGACATTGACAGGGTGAGGGGATTTAAATATAAAAATAGTCTTGTTTTTGGCTCCGACTTAAATATCTTGGCACTGTTTAACGAAGCCGGTTTAAGGAATGAGAGGCAGAAATAATTCCTAGATGGCCTGTCTTTACTGTAATCAAGATGGTACCTAACCGCAGTTTTAAAAGGGATAATTTATCTTTTGTGATAATATAATACTACTTGTTGATTGGTTTGCCAAATATAAGACTCCGTCATAAGACCCTTGTCTCTGATTGTGAAACATGTGTATGCATCAAATCCGAGGAATATTACATTATTTGAAACAATTCCAAAAAGTTCTGTCTTGAACTCAATCAAATAGCGATATATTTCAACATGTGGAAATTATTTATTAATGTAATGTCGGGCACTATAGGTTAACAGGTTTTCAGTTTTGCTCTTTTTTGTCACGCTTAAATTGTGTGCTTTATTTTTTGGGGATTTGAATTTGAAAAGGTGAATTCACGATCCAATAAAGCTTATAGTATCATTTATTAACAGATGCATCGAGGTAGAGCCACCGTTCAAAAGACATAAACATAACTCCGTCTCTGTTTAAACCTACATGTAGTAAAGTTTACAACATCAATGGATATAATTACAGTCACATGTACTTTGTTATTAAATCCAGAAACTTTAACGGCCGGCGCGTAAGCTTATTGCCGGATTTTAAACTTGATATTGTTTATTAGACTGTTATCTAGATTCTTCTTCTATTTATTTTTATCTGGGAACGTATATTTTTTATTATTAGAGAACCAAGGAAAGCAATACATGTACAACAATTACTATTACTAATTAAGCTAATGGTCACTTCCATTCTCATTTATAGAGTTCAAAAGACGAGCGCGTTCTTATAAATAAATAAATGAATAACGCAAACCACGTTCTTAAAGTTTTTATTCAGAATCGTATTTTATATTCAGTACTTTTTATCATTTATTAAGTTACAGACACAAGCGGCACATGTAGGTTTGTTGTAAGACCATTTCTGCGATGACCAAGGTGCGTATTTTGGTTTTATAACGGGGATATTGCTCGAGTTTGAATAACAAATAAAAGGCATGTTCTTATTTCTGTATTCTGTCCTTTGATCGTGTATTAAGTGGAGCTGCACGCCAAACGTTAGGATTGTTAAAACGCTTAAAATAAAACTTTATTCCTTTCAATTTACATAAAAATGAAACAGATTAGATTCGAATCTCAGTCACACCAGCCACTGGTCAAAGGAAGTACAAAACAAATATCTATATTAATCAAATGTCTGAGAATTTGATAACTGTCTGGAATCCAATGTTAATTTTATTGAATCAAACTAAGAAAAGTATAATGATGAATTTTAAACTTTTAGAGGGAAAAGTCAAATATGCATTGTAACCCTAAAAATAATTCATTAAAGTGTCGTACACATTTCATAACATTTATATAAATAAAACAAATAAAGCACAACCCTAATGCCCTAATGAATTCATATCGGCGCAAACGGCCCTTGCAATAAAAACGCATCGAAGCAGGGAATGCTTGGTAAATTCTTCCGGGACTGACTTTTGTTATTTCAAAATTGAAATATGCCAAATTCCTATGAAATAATCAAATAAGCACGCGATCTTTTTCCCTGGGTTTTACTCTATTTTAGATTTACCAGAAAAATGTTTATATGATGCTGTGATGATTGCGTTTGCTTCTCACGAGTTCATTGAAAAGTTCAGTCTTAAAACTTCAGAGATCATAAGACTAATTAGGCACCTGATTGCGAGAGTTTGATTGCATTTCGACCGCCGGGATTTTACAAACGTATTGTTTAAGTAGCGATCGTGTTCTTGGGATCTTGATAACTTCCTATTTTAAGTTTTGGGTTGGAAGCAATGAGTATGTCGGACTTTCTCAGGTCCACATAATGAAACAATACCCCTTTATATTAGTCCAATCGAAATTTGCATAAACATACCAGTTTTATATTGCAAAAAGAACAGACTGTAATTAATAGCCTACATAAAAGCATCATGATAATTACAACATTAAAGCATATATGAAGCCTATTGTTATCAAAACCCATAAATCCTCACCATATAAATATAGTTTTATTGATGACCAAAAACAGATATCAAGGGCGTAGCCAGCTTTCAGTCAGGGGGGAAGGGTTGCGATCACCAAAAAGATTTCGGTTTTCAGTCAGGAGGGTACGATTGTGGCCTTAACAGCATTTTAAAACTCCTTTCTTCTTCTTTCTCAGGGTTTTATTTTTATTGTTATGGGGTTGCGATCGCACCCATCGCAACCCCCCCCCCCCCCCCCTCCTGGCTACGCCTATGGATATTTTGGCAACTTTCACATTTACCCCGCCCCCTAATAATTTTTGCGCCCCCTCTAAATTTCAACCTTGCCCGACTGACTTGTAGATGATGCACGAATCAAATAGCATGGAGATCAGATAATCAGATTGATTCGTATTTTCGCAATCAGATGAATTAACTTATTGTTTTCTCTGATTAAAAGGCGGCTTGAAGCTACTTTTACAGGATTTGTAAATTCGCAATCAGACTGGCTTATTTTAATATTTAGTCAGTGCAAGAGGAGGGGGTTATAATGTAGAACACTAACTGAATAATTTATCACAATTGTTAAATACGCAAACAGAGACAGGTTTAAAAATGAGAATAGAGGCAAAAAACTCTATTCATAAAATGTAATTAAAACCCGGGAATTAAAAGCAATTTAAGACTGTTAGATGATCTCTTCTGTAATCAAGGTGATGTTGGTACACTTCCGCCGTTAGAAAAACAAAGACTAAGACAAAGACTATATAGCAATTAATCCTTTTGTAATCATTAAATGTTAGATTCTTATTATTTTGTTGGACAATGTTCAGACTTCTGACCAAGATTAATTCATTTATGTTTGTATTTAGAAAATAGTATTTCAATCAGACAGACGTTCTAATGAGTTAGAAAAATACATTTGTCCATTTCCTCTCAAGTTTTCAAAGGTAATCAAGTCGATTTGTTTGAAAGTTTAGCATTGTTTTTCATAACTTGACGCTTCCATGAACAGAATGACTTTGAAATGAGTTTTTATAATTTTAGCTTTTATACGGACATGCTTATTGTATATTTCTATATGAACGTTGTAATTATGTGATGTAACATCGCCCCCCCCCCCAAATTACAGGTATACAAATTTTGGTCGGAATGCTTTAACTTGCAATTAAAAGCAATTTTAGACTGTTAGATGATCTCTTATGTAATCTAGGTGATGTTGGTACACTCCTCATTTAAGAAAACAAAGACTAAGACAAAGAGAACTAAGCAATTAATCCGTTTGTTAAATGTTAGATTCTTATTTTTTTATTGGACAATATTAAGACTTCTGTCCCCGCTTCTGTCTCCGATTGTTATGCAGGTATGTGTATAAAATCATGTGAACAACATTATCGTGGAAACTCCCATATTCATTCTCATAATGTCTTACAGCTATTTCGCAAATGACATAATCCTATTAACAACATGTGGACATAATATAACAGAACTGAGCGAAAAGAAAGGTGGAACAAATCAGATTAAGATATTTTATTTTTTAAATGCACAAAGGGCAACAGTTGAAGAAAAAAAGTTAAAGGCGTTGTGAAATAGATTGTGCTTTTATATGATCCCCTTCTATAGTCCCCTACCCTTTGCATTCGTTCGACTTCACTTCTTAAAAGAGAGTTTCGTCTTCTTGTAGTTTATAACTAGACTCTGCACGCAGCGTAATAGTGCCCCTATATTATCCATGTTCAGGGGCGTAGCCAACTTTCAGTGTGGGGGTGCCATCGGCAAAAAAACAATATCGGTTTTCAGTCGGGGGGAGGGGGGTGCGATCGTGGCAAAAGCAAGCCAAAAGATGCAACTTCCTTCAAAATTGAGCTAGAAGCTTCTGTCTCTTCTTCTATTTCATGGTTCTATTTTATTGGTTATGCACCACACCCGGGGCACCGCACCCCTCCCCCTGGCTACGCCTATGCTATTTGAGAGACAAAAAGAGAAGCGAAAAGACTGTTAAAACAAGTACTTCCAATAAATACTTTTACAGTTAATGTGTTTATCAACGACCCTACTTGTCAAATTAATAGAAACGAAAAATAAATACTTTCATTACGGGAAAACCGGAGAAATACATGTATCTACCTGATTCGCTGGAATAGTCATTAGTCACATTATTTCAGAGCAAACAATTAGCATCTGCTATAATATTTATTTTTTCTATCTGATATACATCTGATATTGATATCTTTCCCCGGAGAATGTGTTATCTCATGGTCCGTTGACATCATCAACAATGTGATTTACCACAAGAGATTAACCAACATTCCTTGATTAAAAAGTTGACATTTCTCGACTTTTTAAAGCAAAAACACTATGACACAATAACATCGAGGCAAAATCAAAACATAGTGTGGAAATAAAAGGCATACAAAATGGACATTAAAAGGACATTCTTGTTCATAAAAGTATCAACTTTACTACAATGCACGCAAATACAAAATATAGAATAAATAAAAATAACGTCTTCCGAGAGATTACAATACGGATCATTAAGTCATTAACAAATCTAACCGTTAAATAAACAAACTTAGCCCATGTCTGCAATTGTTTGTCTGCTGGTCAGAACTTGGTATCCGTTTCGGATAATCAATTTCTGAGAATACTGATGTCTTAAATAATTCCTAAAGTCGACGTTGTCTTTAAATAAGAATCTTTAATCTACAAACTAAATAAATATCGTAAACCCGGAATCGTAAACACCTTGCTGTCCTCTGTTAAATCACGAAACCCGTTTCCCTTAAATTTTTTACTAAGAGACTATAATTTATCTATCAAATTATTTTTCTTGAAATATTAAATGTCGTCTAAGTTTGTTTTAATGATTAGTCTTCTTCTAGATTCATTAATCATCGCGATATTTATATATACATATTATGTAATAGACCTATCATATCACGCCCGTAGTTACAAAGTCAACTACATATTAATGAAATAGAATAAGACTCAATAATTAAAAAAATAAAGCTCAGTATTCGGGCCTAAAAACCACAGATAAGTGTATCAATACCAAAGGGTAAGCTCAAATAACCTTCCAAATAAGTGTATCAATAATCAAGGATTGCGACTACTAAGCACCGGGTAAGATGGGTGTACCATTGGTATTGCTAGTTATTAAACACGATTTTGTCTTGTGGGTATAACTCTATGCTTATAGAGGACCCTGGTACCCCCAGCAAATTGATTGAGATTGATACTACGATCTATATCAATTCCCAACCAATCAATTGTTACCGTTGTAAGGAGATATCACACCTTGGTCGTGACTGCCCTACCAGAAAAACTGTAACCTGCCGTCAGTGCTTTCAACCAGGTCATTTTGCCAAATTTTGCCCTCAGAACAATACAAAAGATGATGACAGTAATGATAATGACAGTGATTCTGAGATTGACTCTGTGAAGTCCGTAATTCGTAATGAAAAACCTGTTGAATCAGTCAGCTCTACTGAATCAACACCAGCCACACCACAAGCCACACCAGTAGTAGATGTAGCAGCATCAGGCGACACACAACCTACAAATACCACCAGTGTAGATAGCTTGGAGGTTCAACCTGCCAATGTGATCACTAATAGTGCTCCTACCAAACCTGAGAGTAAAACTGATGAAGCAGCATCAGGGGACCCACTAGCTACTAATACCACCCGCGTAGATAGTTTGGATGAAGTGTCTGGTAGCGCTTCTGCCAAACCTGACAGCAAAACTTTCCCCATTTTTGATAAAAAAGTGAAGAGTAAAAAAAGACCGCCAAACTTTACACCCCCAAGCACAGAAAAAAACTCGAAAAAATCTTCAAAGTCAAAAATTCGTATCTAAACAAGTATAATACATAAATATCCAACCCAATGTCTGTATGAGAGTTTGCTCAATAAATTGTAGAGGCTTAAGAAACAAACGTGACCGAAAAATCGTTTTTGATTGGGTTAAACAGACCAATTGTGATATAATTTGTTTACAAGAAACACATGTTTTAAATGAAGATAAAGAAAAATGGCATACAGAATGGGGTGGAGATTTATATATATTGTACCTGGTTCCTCCCCTAAATCAAAAGGGCAAATCATTCTTATTAATAAAAACAGCCAAGTGACAGTTGTAGATGAAATTTTATTAAATAGTGACAGAATTCAAATGATAAAGGTTAAAATAGATGATAACATAATGTTTATTGTCAATGTATATGCACCTAACAAAGATGCTGAGAAACAAGTATTCTTTGAAAATTTAAAAGCAACAATTCATGAAAATATAGGTCAAAATGAATATATTATTTCTGGAGACATGAACTGTGTAGTATGCAACAAATTAGATGTTATTTCAGGGCAAAAACATAATGAGGTAGTTGTTAGGAAATTCAATGAAATGATAAATACATGCAAAATAGTTGATACATGGAGGTCACAACATGATAATGAAAAAGAATTCACTTGGTGTAAACAAAACCCGTTTATTGCGAGAAGGCTTGATTATATCTTTTCCACTGAAAAATTAGCTCGAAAGATCGATAATGTTCAATTAGGGCAAAGCTTACAATCTGATCACCGCCCAGTGATAACAGACTTTAAGTTGAATACAACCAAACGCGGTCCCGGAGTGTGGAAATTGAACAATGATATTTTAAATGATCAAGAGTATGTTCAGAAAATTAATGACTGTATTGTAGAAATGAATGAAAAATATCAACATGTTGTCAATCCTCAAATATTGTGGGATTCCATTAAGTGTGAAATTCGAAACATCTCCATTAATTATTCAAAACGAAAAGCACAATTGAAGAAACAGAATACAAACAATTTGAATATTGAACTTAAAGCTGCATGTAGTAAACTAGCTAGGGTGCCAAATGATGAAAACCAAAAACATGTTCAATCACTACAGATGAAACTAGATCTTGAAAATGTCTCACAAGCAAAAGGCGCACAACTTAGGTCAAAGATTGATTGGATTCAACAGGGCGAGAAAAATACTAAATATTTTTTAACACTTGAGAAATTTAGAGCTAAAATGAAGACAATTGACTGTATCGAAAAAGACGATGGTACAAAAAGCGATTCAATTGATTGTGTAATGCAAAATTTATATGAATACTATTGTAATTTGTATGCTGAAAATGATGATGTTACTTATTCACTTGATGATTTTATTCATGACATTGAAATCCCACATTTAAATGATGAAGAAAAGTCTTATTGTTAGGGAAAAATTAATGATATTGAATGTAAGGAAGTCCTTAAGAATATGAAAAACACATCAAGTCCAGGTATAGATGGACTCACCGCCGCTTTCTATAAAATGTTCTGGATCAAAATAAAACATCTTGTTGTTAATTCTTTAAACTTTGGTTTTGAAATAGGTCAATTGTCCAGCTCGCAACGAAAAGGAATGATAATACTATTGCTCAAAGGGAAAATGTTAAATTCTGCCAAAGTCAAAAACTATAGACCAATTGCCCTTACTTGTGTTGATTATAAAATTGGGGCAGCAGCACTTGCCAAACGGTTGCAAAAGGTTATTATAAAACTCATAAATTCTGATCAAACAGCATACCTTAAAGGAAGAGGGTCACATTTTAACTTGAAAATTATTGATGATCTAATTAACTACATTGATTTTGAAGATGAAACGGGTATTATAATAGCATTAGACTATGCAAAAGCTTTTGACTCAATTTCTAAGAAATATGTCATGAAAATGTTGAAAGTATATAATTTGGGTGAAGATTTTATAAGATGGATTGATGTTTTTAACAAAAATGCAGTGTCCGCTATTTCAAATAATGGATACCTCAGTAGTTGGGTACCTTTAGAACAAGGTCTGAGACAGGGCTGCCCTCTCAGTGCAATTCTATTTATAATGGCAACAGAAATATTTTCTTGTAAAATAAGGCAAAATAAAGACATTGAAGGTATATGTTTAAAGGATAAACAAAAAACAGAAATAAAATTAACTTCTTATGCAGATGATACCACATTATTTTTAAGGACAAAAGATTCAATTCCAATTTTGTTAAACGAGATAACTGCATTTTATAAAGTATCAGGCCTTAAACTAAACATGGAAAAAACTCAAGCAATGTGGTTGGGAAGAAGTAAAACAAAAACAGAAAAACCATTTCATCTAAACTGGAAAATTGGTAAAGATCAAAAAATTAAAATATTAGGAGCTTATTTTAGCAATTCAGGTTCATCTTCTGACCTCGACGAAAATTGGCAGCCAAAAATTGAAAAAATCAAGTGTCTCATTCAATCATGGAACAAAAGAAATTTATCGTTGTTTGGAAAAGTAACAGTCATTAAAAGTTTAATGGCTTCCCAAATCACTCATATGTTAATGGTATTTAAAGCTCCACAGAAATACTTAGATGAAATTAATAATATATTGCATAAATTCTTATGGCAGGCTGTGGAAAAAGTAAAAAGAAATGTAATTAGGCAGGATATTTTAAATGGAGGCTTAAATATGATAGATATCAATTTATATCAAACTTCACTTATTTTAACCTGGATAAAAAGACTATATGACAATGAAAATGATCAAAAATGGAAAGCAATTATGAGTTTTTATTTGAGTAAAATGGGACATTCTAAAAACTTGTTCAAGTACAATTGTGAATATAAAGACTTAAAAGTAAACAAAAATATTCCAACATTTTACTCGTTCTTATCCAAATCATGGCTGAACAATAAAACAGTAAATATCACTAAAAACATTTTTACTAATGATTACTTATGGAATAACAGGAGTATATGTTACCAAAATAAACAATTACACTTTAAATCATGGGAAAATGCTGGAATAAAATTAATCTCAGATGTGATTGATAAAAGTACAGGAAAAATAAAAAATGCAGATGTATTAAAGGAGAAAATTGGGAGAAACCCTAACTTTTTCATTGAATACAATATGCTCCAACAAAGTCTTATAAGAGTGATTGTAAAACAAGATGATAACACTAAAACTACATTCAATGAAATTGATGTAAATAAAGCAAATGCTCAAATGATCAGAAAATCTTTATTAAAACGTAAATTGGAAACTCCAATCAGTGAAAGAGGCTGGAATGATTCATATAATCAGTTGTGTTGGAGAGACATTTGGCTTAATGTTCGAAATATAAAAGAACCAATGTTAAAGTCACTTCAATTTAAAATATTGCACAGAATATATCCAACTAAAGTTTTGCTATTCAAAATGAAAATTAAAAATGATGAACTTTGTAATTTCTGTGCCTGTAAGGATACATATGAGCATTTCTTTATAGAATGTAGAAAAATAAAACGAGTCTGGGAAATAATAGATAACACATGCTTCCTCAAATTGAAAAGAAAGATAGAATTTAAGCACGATATTATTTTTGGATATAAGGACGAGGACAAAAGGGTTGAAAGGAAAATTAATCTTATGTTAATGGTTGGAAAACATGTGATAAGCAAATACAAATGTGGTCTATATAGTTACAATGTTGAATCTATGTTAGAACATGAGATGAGACTAAGAAACTTGTAATATTGTAAAGTGTTATAATGATTGTATGATTGATATTGACTTATGATATATATATATTATGTAATATGAATATGTAATGATACTGAGGAAAAAGAAAAAAAAAAAAAAAAAAAAATGTAGTAATGTAGTTTGTAATATAAGGATTGAATCGTTGGTAGACCAAATAAGCCAACGGTCCATACAAATGTAAACACTTTGATTAAACCCCTGGATGAAATAGATTGGACATGAAAATAAAAACAAATGAATAGATTCTCTTTGGTACTATCGACACTGTTTATGGTTGTTTTGAGTACAGAAATCCGTGAGGTAAATGCCAAATAAAGGTCATAAAGATAAAACGATACCGTTGAAATACTTACTCTAAATTAGTTTCGCCCGTTGAAATACTTACTCTTAATTAGTTTCGCCCACTATCAATTTGCAGAAATGATGACGTTTATAGTTTCAAATCCCATTCAGGGATATGTCAGGGACATGTAACGGGCACAGCTCTAGTTCAGCTAGACAATTCCCAGTGTCCATTAGAGTCTTGTCTAGCTCCCATTACAAGATAATGATACCATGACCACATATACTTTAAGATAAATCAACCTGGAGAGCGCTACCACCTCAAAGCTACCGGTTTAAGACAATTATTCTGCTATTGAAAATCTTCCCGCCATCTCTACAAGTTATGTTTCAAAGCAAATTTGGAAATGTTTACTGATAGATTAGCACTTACGCGAGTGTATTTTGCGCATGCGCGGCTCTGAGAAAACATGTGCTCGTGATTGTTCACGTGATCATATCCTGCAATTTGATTGGACATCGTTGCAGTCTTAGTACTGTGTCCCGGACTGCCATTGAGGGAAATAGTGCGGCCGAGGGAACAGGTCAGTGGACAGGATATTCCCGAGAGGAAAATTTTTACACTATTTCCCGAAAATGTGGCAGTCACTATTTGTTTTATTATATACCCGATAAGTACTCTGTAAACTAAAACAAAATGAGAAGTCTTTTCATTTCGATATCAAACGTTCACAGGTTCTTATTGGCATTTAAAGGCATTTTACCTTTCAACTCCTATAATCTCAGATTTGGGGGAAGATAAAACGTACTATTGACTGGTGACCTTACTGGTGATTAGTACAATTCATCTTCCCTGAAAGTAGGGATTTAGGACTTTCCAGGGAATTAGTTCATCTGTTCCATGTCATGTGATCATGAATAAGCCAATGAGCATCTAGAATACATTTGAGGTATATAATAATATACAAATAGTGACTGCCATTGAGGGCAATAGTCACTATTTGTTTTATTATATACCCTATACTGACTCTTGTCCCGTTTCCTCTGCGAAGGCCAAAAAGGCTTAGAAAGCCCCCTCCCCGGGTCCATTGTTAGCATTATAAGCTGTGACGTCATCAGATGCTCAACAGAAAGTTTTGCCTCTGAGACTCTCACTTGACAAATTCAATCGCGTTTAACACGCGGAATAGATTATCATAACACTTGAAATTACACAGACGTATTGAGCTTAGGGAACTTTATAATTATTCACGTTGCTTATATTGTATCGTTCACGCACGTCTGTCATGGTGAACGGAGTTGATTTGTGTTTGTGCTCATCCTCCATTCTGTTTTTCGTCTGCGCAGTGATGATGCGCAGACGTTTCCAATGGTAATAGAAGTTGCAATCGTGACGTCAGCGGGCAATAGTTCAAATGTATATTCCCGCTGACGTCACATTTGAGGGAATATAACTTTCCGAGGGAAATAGTAAATCTATTTCGGAACACGTGACTAGGTATTGACCAATCAGGATTAGTGTTACATATTGGGTATATAATAAATGTAATAGTCTACTTCATATAGGAAAACTAGTGACAAATCATGAGAACTATCCGGTGAACAACTCATTGTAGTATCCAGAGATTTACTAAATGACATATACCCTTAGTGCAGCTCAAAAGAGCCAGCCCCTAGGTCTGGCTATACAATCGAAACATCTGGTGGAGCTGCAGGGAAATCAACATAATTGTTAACAAATCCTTGTTCAGGAATGGGGATTTATAAACAATATCTAGTTTTATAGAGTTAAATATTTCATAATTTTGTGAAGTCATCGCTTTCATCAAATTAAATACTTTGTTAGCTCATTCTCATTTGATGGCTTCGGGAGAGGACTGGGTTAGATGGCGCCTTGGTCACACACGCTACCTACCAGTCTGGTATAGAGAGCGCCATTCGCCTGGGATTTGCTACAGTAAATTGCCGATCAAATAGAAGTGAAAGTGAATTATTTTTCAAACCTAGTTTATCATCGAAAACCCCTTAAAATGTTAGATTGACTGGATTTCATGTATATGGTATCTAAGTTCTATCTTCCCTCTAAGTTTTTTTGAAAAATAATTTCGACTTTAAAGACCTATAACTTTGCTAATCCTGAAGAAAGGTATCAAGTTTTTGGATAATAAATTTAGCAAATTCAATTGCCTACCCAACTTGTATTTTTTGCAAGGACTCAGAGTGATGGATATTCTGTCATATGACTTGCGGCAAACCTACCATTTTCCATTGTTTAACATGGGAATGTCGATTTTCAAAAATTCATCAAATTTATGATCAATTGAGGAAAAAATGAGAAAATTTGGAGGTATTGGAAATAAAGTCAAATTACGTTTCAATCAATAGTATAAGTATTTTCATCACAGGTTAAGTAAATAAAAATTCAAAAGTAAAGAGGCTTTAACACGTAGTTCAATGGGGGGCTAAGGTTGCCAAACTTATGGAGGGGAGTGTAACATTTAAAGAAAATACCGTTTCTTCACTGGCCCGATGATGACAAAAGCTTCGAAATATGAATTTATTTTCATGAAATCGGGCAGAAATGTTGCAATGATAGCAAGCATGTCACATGTAAATTATGTCATCTAAGCAATTAATTAAGCACTGATTTGTTACGATATGTACTCTATTTTGACTAAGTGGTGGACTGTTTAATCGGGCTGGTAACTGGTCCGTATCTAAAGTAACTGGCCCCGGGCTCTTGAGCCAATGCTTATGACACACCCCGAACTGGTGTAAATATAAATCTGGATATTACTGGCTCCCTCTATCTGGTTTTCTAAATTGCTTAATTTTGCCATTGAATTTACCAACAAATAGTGTATGTTCATCTTCTCACAGAAGTAAGAATGGTTAGTCAATCGTCTATGTTGGGACTTAGGGTCTATACATAGCTCAAAAACATGGCTTCTTATAGTCAGGCCATTCACTTGGCTTTGCTGTGCCATCTTCAATGAATTCCTGAAGAACTGCAAGAGTGTATTCCAATTGTTCCTGTGTCAGTGCATCAGTAATATTCCATCTTACCAATGAACGATCTTTAGGTGCAGCAGGGAATACAAACGGTGCGGCATATATACCCTTTGATTTCAGAGTCCTGTCTAATCGAACTGTTTTGTCGTAATCACCCGTAACTAGTCCAAATAGTTGTGTTGGATGATCAAGATAATAACCCAGGTAGCCTAGTTTTCGCAGCTCTTGTTTAAAGTATGTGAACTTTATTTGAAGGGACTTTCTTTTATCATTGGCTTGTTTAATAGTTTCTAAGGCTTTAAGGAGTCGTACTGCTTCATGGTCTTGGACAGCATGGCTGAACATACACTTGGTAGTGCCTCCTAGGAATAATTCGACAAATTCTTGTCTCCCCGTAAATATTCCACTATTGCAGGCAAATCCTTTTGCTAAGCCCGCTGTTCGGAACTGCACCCTTTGCTCCAAGCCTAACTGACACACAATGCCATTCCCCTCATGACCATGTACACCAAGAGCATGACTTTCATCAACAATCAAGGCAGACCCATACTTCTCTGCCAAGTCACACATGTCTTTCAATGGTGCTATGGTTCCCAATGAACTGGTTATACTGTCTGCAATTATGAACCCTGGCCCTCTTTTGGTCATTTTAGCCTCAAGGTCCACAAGATCATTGTGCTTGAACACAATCATATCCCCTTTCATAGCTCTTATGCCATAACGGAATGAGGCATGAACCAGGAAATCCAAATACACAGGAATGTTATAATTGTATTGTAGTAGAATTTCTACCAGACTACAGTTTGCATCCATTCCACTCTTGGTGAGCACTACAGCATCAGCTTTTAACCACTCGGCAGCTTTTTCTTGAAACTCGTTCATTGGAGATTCGTGTGAACGAGGCCAGATCCCTGACCTACTCCAAGTAGCTTTACCATCATTTATCTGAGAAATGATATATTCCGCCTGCGCTTCATTGATTGCTCGATCATGCCCAATAGCCAGATAGTCACAGCTAAGGAAGTCAATCTCCCCTTTATTGTTGTCAGCCAAGTTAGGTCCAACAGCCACATTCGCCAGTCTAGCATGGCGTTGTGTACGTGCAGGAATGGCAATCTTCGGTGTTATCTCTAATTTTGTGATGTTTTCAGTCACTGCTTTGTATGTAATTCTCCTCTTACTCAGGTTTAGAGCTGGTTGTATCCAATGTCGGTGAGCCATTTCTAAATGCAGATATTATTTGTCCTTTATATTAAGAATCAAGTGTTTTAATTTTCGCTAGCCTTTTTATTATGAACTCCTATATTAAACTGTTAAAGAGCCTCATTCTGTTAAATGCTAGATCATGAAATACAACACTGAATTCTGTAAAACATCTGTTAGTAGATTTATTGATGGCACACATTTAAATATGAAAAGTCTGATGCAATAAACACGATATAAACATCGGGTGTCTTAAAAAATGTACCCAAAAGTCAACAGCACATATAAACCAATTAGTATTTTCAACAGGATCTTAAGAGGTTCTGGACAAATCATTTGATTCTGGACTTGTCATATTTTTTTTTCAACGAAATCACATCCAAGGGTTGAATTTTTATTAGCTATTTAGAGAGTGAGTCCTGCCTAGTATTAATTTCAATAAGAAAGTTAAAATAGAACCCTATTTGAGAGTCAATCTAATACTTACATTACATTGATAAATTAAGGCAAATCCTGAAATATTTTTAAAGTGCATTTTTTTATGAAATATTATCCAGCAAGTATTTAAATGAAACGGTCTTATTGAAATACAAATCATAACATGATATTTTTCATGAAACATTTTTCAATGAAATTCAATTGAAGGGTCAAGATAAAACGAGCTAATTTAGGTGAAAACCCTTACATGATGATGTGTTTTCATAACTTCTTTCATAAAATTCCATCAAGGGGTGAAGATAAAATGATCGAATTTAAGTGATTTAAGGATCACGAAAATATGTTTTCTTTGATATTTTCTATGAAATCCCATCCAATGGTCAAGGTAAAATTTTGATTTTGATTTGGTCACGTGTTCGAAAGATCCATATAAGGCCCATAGAACCATATAGGAACGTCATTTTGAATGACACGTGATAGATCCATATAAGGCTTTTAGAACCATTTATGGAAAGATGAGGGAAGCCCCTGACACCTGTTTCACGATTTTTATGCACTTCATTATTGTACCGAAGTTTGCCGATTCGATTCGTCGTATTTCGGAATCCTGGTGACAATTTTATACTCCATTGGAGTATTTTTGACCTACTTCTTATGACGGAAATTCCCGAACCTTGTTCGGATTAATCCGGATTTTCTGACCTACTTTATCTACCGAGATTTCACGAGTTAACATTCGTCTCATTCCGGAATCCTGGTGACAATTTTATACTCCATTGGAGTATTTTTGATCTACTTTTTCTGGATTTTGCCCTACTTATTATATCTTGACAACAAGCAAATCAAAAAGTTCGACATGAACGGGTCTCGATCAACTAACCTAGACTATGGAAGCCAGGCACGCTAACCATTAGGCCAACGAGCCACCGATATGAAAGAACAAAAGTATTATATATTTATACCGAGCGTCAATTCAAAATGATCCTCACTTTTGTCTCCACTTAAATACGACTCGTCAGTTGTATCCAGAATAGTAGAACGCCTATGGCGCTAGTGAATAACCAAGTCCCAGGTGAGTGGTTCGTATCCCTCCGTGATATACTATTTTTGTTTTATCAAATACGACAGAAAGGAGCAAGGTGTAGGTTGAAAACAAGACGTTAGTTTGTTTCAAAACAGTTTGGAAACATTAATCTCTGGAACATTATTTTTTCAACACTGATACAAATTTCCCTGACATTTCCCTGACATGTCTACCGTTTCAAAATTCCCGGTCATCTTTGGCCCTTTTGACCTAATTTTAAAATTACCTGACATTTCCAGCACTTGGAAAATCAAGTCAATTTCCCTGACATTTCCAGGTGTGTATGAACCCTGGAAATATCCCACTGGCTCGCCCTATGAATCGCTAGCACAGATTGGATTGATTAGTGTTTCAAATGGTGGACGAAGTGTTTGATTAGATAATTTACATATTAAGCTTCTTAAAGGGGCAACAAGGCCTGTACATAGAAAATTCGAAATTTTTTACATTTTCTGAATTTTTAGGGCAACATTTGGCTTTAACATCTTTTTTTTATACATTTTTTCTTAAAATGTATGGATAAACAATAAAATTTCAGCATTTAGCAGTGCGAATTCAGTTCAAAGCTTCTATAAAGGGAGTCCAACTTATAGATTTTGAAAATCCGACTCGTTTAAAGAAGAATATCAGCAGCTTAAATCACGCCTTGTGATCATACAAAATGGATGGAGGGGGGGGTAGGCGATTTCTGCAAGAAAACTCAAAAAATTTGGAAGATTTGAATTGCCAAATGAATAGGCGCAGTGCATGGCAAAATATGTAAGGTCTTCTAGTATTTTTTGAACTGATACGCTTCTAAGATATGAGATCTATTATAAAAGGCGCATCATCATCATCATCATCATCAACGTGCAAAAGTCAATGTTTTTGCTATAAATCAGGCAACAATGGTCTACACGACCTGTAATAAATAGGTATGAGGGGCGTTATTAGAGAATTTTCGTTATAAGTTTTTTAAAAACTTATACGTATACTTATACTTAAACCCAATAAACAAGGTGTTTCATAATTTCCTAATTCGTCGGGAAATATCTCCTAGGAAGGTAATAAAAAGGGCCAATGGCATACCATCCGTACCCCCTTGATGTAAAGCATGTTTAGTTGTGTCATATGTGTTTTCTAGAATCAAATAGGCTGATATAGCACACGGGTTTTACAGATTTATCTACTCTCAAATATATTTTTTGTAGATGATCGTTTTGAATCACCTTGTAGAAATAACGAAGGGAGAATTAGTTCAGCTAATGAATGAGTCGAGCTATTTGATTGGATACTATGCCTATTCAGCCGATTAATTTTAATAAGCCATTCTGGTCAGTAGGTCCACACATATACTATGCGGAGATCCAACTCTAAGTTTATAATCTGCGTATAAAGGCCCTTTTATACGTAAAAACTTAAAAATTGACCTTATAATTTCATGAGAACTTTGAAATGATCGACTCGTTCGTGTAGTGATTCACTTTAAAGGGTCTTGTTTATCGTACACTACAAGGACCCGTCAACTAGAATTTAGTTTATCGTGTTCATAATTGACACTAGCAAAGGACATTGTATTCGCAGTCCCTAGTTGATGATGAAGCTTGACTATATCGGGAATAGTTATGCCCCACTTGGTACAGATTATGAAAATCAATTTGAATTGATTTTAGTTCGACAAGACCCTTTAAACTATAAGTATACGTATAAGTTTTTGAAACAACTTATAACGAAGATTCTCTATTATCACAACACTGACATTGCTCACTTTTTAAAGTTGTTTCAAAGCGTTATATGTAAATGGGCGTGTGGAAGGCCCGTGGGTGGCAATAAAATAACTCGAACTTCAAATTAAAATATATATAAAATAGTATATTTCAAACTTCAATGTTTAAAATACAATGCTCTGTAATGTACAACATGAACTCTTACAGCAACTACTGACAAGCCAACACCCAATGCAAACTCAGCTACATGTGAGTGAGAAAGACCATATAGGGGAACAATAGATATATAAAACTGACACAGTTTGCATAGTTGAATAACTCAAGGTGAAAAGTGAACATGGTATTAAAAGAGTAAAACTGCAAACAACCTACTTAGGGACCTGTTATATTGAGATGAATAGGGATTGATTAATATGAACACTAATAATATAAAATGTGAAAATGACCATGTTACATATACAAAAAATAACCCCATTGTTACAAAATCACAAAAAGTGAAATATCTATTCTTGTATTGCATTTTCGTTCACTGGACATATTTTAATTGCATTGCTATTAGATACATTTTAAGGGTGATATGAAAATTGAACCACGAAAACAGATGTACTTTAAGTTAAAGGGAACTTTCTACCATACCCGCCATGCTATCTGACCCGAACGAGCCACCTTGTGGTGAGATTGGTAACTACCTGCTCGCATCTGCGTTATTACGCAGAGACATAAACGTATACACAAGGAAACGATAGGAGATAACCTATTTTATCTCTGTATACATTTTAACTTTAATACATCGTTGAATCGAATTTGTCCAAAGGTCTTGAAACGTAAAATACCTAAATATTTATCTTAGACCTTGGGATGACCTTGTACAAGAAACATTAATGTTGACCTCGGTTCATCTAATCATAATTCGCCAAGGGCCATAGTATCATCAAACGCCAAATACCTAGACATTGATCGTTTACTTGGATTTAAATAAGGAGTTTGATTTAAAAATTGGCTAGGTCGTGGTTAAGCAACAATAGTATGTTCGAAATACCGCTGTGTAATGCCTGGATCACATTTGCTGCGAGTGTTTTGTTCAAAATTGAATACATTTCTGAACACAATACTCAATCGGCCGGGCGCCGTAGTGAAAATCGGAGCAAATGTGACCAAGACATAAAACAATTGAATAATACTGTATCAGTTTCACATTTACAGCGGTCAAAAGCATTTACAAAAAAACCGCCAGAGTTGGCAATCATATAAAATGAAACCAATCCCGCTGTGATTCATAGAAATAACTAATTTACTGCATTGAGTTCAATGTTATAACCATGTCGATTTACATGAGTGTCCGATTCATTGTACCAAATTTAAACCTTGACTGTTCTCCAGAAAGCAATAAGCTGACATATATCATATTTTACATTTTAATACAACTGAAAAGATAATAAATCTTTTAATATAAAGTTGACGTAGTTATAAATCTTTTCAGCGTAAAATCAAAGCACAACCATATAATTAAAAACATTACGCTGGGATTCCAACTGGATACAACTGACGAGTTGTATTTAGGTGGCCTAAAGTGCTGCTTATTTTTTCGTGAAGCCACTCAGTAAAATTACGATTTCTCTCAACCCTGATGTTCAATCAACATCATTCGAGTATCTATATGTTCCTGACACGTTCGGGCATCCGGTTATGACAACGTCTACCCAATGTTTGCACGAGAAATTGACGTAATTCATGACTGAAATCGGGAAGACAAAAATATGTGATATTCTTTCAGAATTGTTTATAATAACTATTTACAAAAACGTTCCCGAGACACAATCCATTTAGGTAGGGTTTGTTTTAAAGTCGAAAAGCCCCAATAAGACAATACAAACCCAGATTAAACCCAGAAGAATGCAGATTTCATGTAATGATTTACGTT